CGTACGACACGGTCGAGCAAGCAACATGTTCTAGTCGCCCTCCCCCACCCCGCAACCACCGAACACAAACCAAGCCGTCAGTGTCGATGCCTAGGCCAGGTGCAATGAAGATCTAGTAAAGACTCACATGTGTACGTATTTTTTTTAATATAGAGGGAGCAGGGTGGCCTGTGTTCGGGTGGGCAAGAGGGCCCCCCTGAAATAGCCTTTAGCCCCGACTGAACTATAGCTCAAATCAAAGACAGCTGAGTCGCTCCCCACGTCTGCGAGTTACCTGCCCACATATGCCAGCCCACTCCTCTCCCCCCATGCATAGTGTATATTTGAGATTAGCCCACACCAAAAATTCATTCCTGAATAAGCAAGTAAAGTTTAAACGTATGATCATCTAAGTGATATATAGAACTGGTACTATTTTGAGGGTATGCACACTTGAAGTGTTTGTTGGGGTAAATGCACGTGATAGCGCTGGTTTTATAAGCTGTCAAACACCCAGCCCTCCATCTATACATACATACTAGACATTACTACGTAGCCAAGTGGATTTCGGTGCTAATGCAGAGGCCAAGCCCGAACAGTGCAGTGGTGTGCAAGTCAATGCCAGCTACAGTCGTGACGACAAAAACTCAGTAAGATTTAAATAAGATTCAATATAGTTGCTGCCGCCACTAGTGTGCGAGCAGTTCGGGCCACATAATTACTCTAGTGCCGCGTTAGCCACTCGCCAAAGTGCCTGTACATTTTCTATAAGCATAGCCCGTTTTTTAAGCAAACGCTGCCTGCACTGCCCCAGCATCGCAAATTATCGGCATGCTAAAGGTTCCACCGCGGATGTGTGCAATTCTTCAGAGCTGATCGTGTTCCACTGTGCATTTCCGCGTCGTGGACAGCGGCCGCATTCGTGAACAGTCAGAGGGCGAGAACCCTCTAGCAACAACATTCCCACACAAACAGAATGAACTGCTCTGCAATGAGTACAATGGGTTCATCAGTGAAATGTATTTTATCAGTACTAACTACTCCAGATGTATACCCCTGCAATTTCTATGACCCACATCCTAGCATTACAAATATTTGCACCAACCTTATACACAACCTCAGGGCAGCCAGCTTGTGTCAGTTATAAACGGAGACTTTGAAGGCCTGCCCAGCTCACTTGTGCAAACTGAAACTTGTAGCCCACACATCGCTTCTGCCTTTATGATCTTCAGAGCTAGTGTTAGCTCCAGAGATTTACCATCTACCTTTTGCAATCAGTCTCACTAGCAACAAATTTAGCATCGGGTCCCAATAACAGCCCGCACACCCTTAACCTTTTGGGGAGTCAGACAATGCTCCCCTGGCAAGTATATTCAGGGCGAGACAAATTGTAAGAGGCGATAGAGCGGACGATATGTCCCCCTGGTACACTATCCGTGACCCGCACGCGCGGTTACCTGCTAGTGGTGCACCCCCCATTCTGTTTTAGAGTTAAAGTCTAGCTGTTTGCTATCTGCGACAAACAATAGCCTGTTCAGCGGTAGTAGTATAATTATTATACGCAAGATTGAATAGAGGACGATATGTTCCCCTGCTATGAGATGATGATGCCAGCATGCCAATGTATGCATGTAGTGTGTAGCTTATTGCAGAGAGCTGAGAGGGAACACAAGGACGAGCATGGCACATGAAAACTATCTCACGTCATATAAGAGAAACAGCAGAAGGTAAGAGAAAGTTTGCTCCGACGAGCTACGGAGAGTCACTACTAGAGTCAGCTAACAATGCATACAGTATGTACTGTAGTCTATGTACACACCTCTCATGTCACGTAGAACCTTGCTGCCCACCATAGCGCCAAATGCTTAATGGCAATAGGAATTTCATTAAAATTACACTCAACTGTTTAGATGAAGAAATTTTCGCGTCACTCAACCAGGTTATTTGACAATGTTCATGCTTTTAAGAGACTTTCAGTGTCAAACAATAGCTATTCATTGCTTGTTCCGAAAATTTGCCAAAGTTCAGTGTATTACTATTAGCATCTACCTGAATGTATGATAAATTATAAATACTGTATATCGATGATGTGGACTACGCCCAATATGTGTAGTTGAGCTATTACCACTCGTTTGCGTCTGTAAGGAAGGCTTTATGTGACATGCATGAGTTATTTTTTTCATGCAAGCATAGTAAACTGCCCGTTAATCAGTGCCACCTGATGGTGGTGTACCATGAGTAACGATTGTGACCTGAACTGCCGTTCTTTGCATCGACCACCATAAACATAATAATATACAAGAAGCCTAGGAAAATGATGGAATTTTAAAAAAAAAAGGTTAGTGCTGGTAGCATAAACCATCTAAAAAACTAGCGACTACCATGCGCGACACAAACACAATATTACAACGTGGAACCTTCTTGCAATAAAGGCCATGTATTCCCTTGGCCGCACCCTCCTGAGACAGTAGAGGACGACCTCTCTACACAAGAAGACACTGTTTCAACCCATGCTAATACATTGTACCTACCGAGATCAGGGCATGACCTTCCCTACAAAGGGACAAAATCGTATGACCATAGTGTAGACCCTTGTATTAGAGGCAGTCCAATGCACACATTGAATGCAAACCTGCTATATTGACATGAAGCAGGATGCGAGGAGTATCAAGCTGCCCTCGTCCGTTTTTGCATGCCTACAGCGGAAGCCGAACAGAACGAGCGACCAGCACGCGTCCCTCATTCCCAACTGATCAACTCCCAGCCAAGAATCAGCAGCACCCCACAGCCAGCCGAGCAGCAACGTCAGTACAGCAGCAAACCCCAACAAGCAGCAGACAAGTCCAACAGTGACCTTACAGCCAGGTGCAACTTTACGGATGACTGCCCCAAGCAACAGCCCAACATCATTCAGCCAGTTGGACTCAGCCGTGCGCCCATCGTGACCTACTGCATCCTCCCCCAATCCTAACTAGCCTCTTCCTCCTCCTACCTCATCTCCACTTCCCTGCACGGCTCGCGGCCACCGAATTCAGACCGCCGCTTTCATAGTTGTGCCAGTCCATGGCCGGCCAGGTGACTGACCCAGAAGAAGAATGCCGATCAGGAGCACAGATCCAGTCGTACAATTAAAACCCGGCCAGGGCGTCGAATACATACGTAGCGCTACACAATACACCAGCACGGACGGGTATTCAGCCGTCCCTTTCCTCACCTGATCTTGCAAACACCATGCAGTCATACATGCATCAAGAGAGGTTGACGCCTGCTGCCCTACAGCATAACAGTGGATCCCTCAGACCCGCCAACCCAAACTCCCTCCAAGGCGGAAAACACCTCCAGTCGCTGCAGCAAGCGAACACAGGGCCCACAAAGGTGGGTGGAGTAGACAGAGAGACTGGGTTGAAGAGAATTGCCGACGTGGAATGGTGGAGCGCGGAGGGGGAGAATGGAAAACTAGGGAGGATGATGAAAAGTCGCGACAAACATCGCGCCTGGGAAGGTGCCTGGAAGGGAGAAGGAGAAAAGCAAGAAAAAAGAATTGAAGGAAAGAAGAAGGGTTCTCGCAGCGGGACTCCATGAACCCTCCAGTTGCCCCACTGTCTCTTTGTAACCAGTCTATGCCATGAAGAGGGGCACGGGGCCGGCGGAGGGAAATGTTTCAAATGCGAAGTCGTTTATGATTTCAGCGTGCAAATGTCGAGTCGAGATCAGCCCGGAGAGAGGCTAGACTATTTATATAGAGCAGCTCCAGGGTCGGTAGAGAGGCAGAAGTGTGGGAGGAAGACACAATTTCCTCTGCTCCCGAACTCAGGGACCGCAGATTGTCGCCGGAATTATTACTCGAGACATAGCCGGTGCGGGCACAGGCAAACTAGAGGTGCCACCTCCCTCTGGGCCGCAAGAAGCTGGTTTATTAAAGAGTCACACTTCCACGGAAGTGACTGTCGGCCCCAAGATAGCCTGCTGAAATCTCTCTAAGCACGGAGCTCCGAGGTGTCACCCGCTCGAGAAGGACGACAACTGGCGAGCGCCACGCCACATCTCCGACAGGGCGGTGGCGACGGCGACTGAGCCGATGCAACCCGTCGCTGCGACTACACGCCCTCCTTCCTCAAGCGGTCTACACCAAGATAGCGTATAGGCCGGCGACCCCTCTGGAAGGTCGAAAGGAGCTGAGGAAACGCAACAGAAACACTCGATTATGTGCGACACCCAGCACTTCCGCACGAACGAAACCGTAAAGGAACAGGCAAGATGACGGAAATCTGCAACAGCAGCAAGGCGGACAATATCGATATAGACGGCTCCACCAGCTAAGAAGAGGGCCAGAAAACCACAGCGAAATCAGCTGCGATTGCCGCAGACGACAAAAATAGCCCTCAATGGAGAAAACCAAGGCCCCGCAAGACCCAGAAAGGATCGCATAGACTCGAAGGCGTCCGGCGTGACACTGTCATCCTCTCTTCCCCAGCTTCGCTCACAAAGGGAAAGGTCCGTCGGGTGGAAGAGCAGATGAAGACGGCCCGTCCGCGTCGGTTAGGATGGAGCAGCTAAAGGTCCGAGCGAGGCAGCCGGCCGGTAAAGGAGTTTGTCATTGAGAGCAGCTCCGGGTCCGATTCCGAGGAAAGCGATTCCAGTTCTGGAACTGGAGCACGTCGTTTTCCTCCCAACAGCGGAAGCTCCAGATATGATAGTTCCAGCGACAGTAGCATGTGAGAATCAGCAGTCGGTGAGGCGAAACCCAGCCCACTCAAGACGGCTGTCGGAGGACGAGGGAGAGATGGGGAGGGGAGGGGTGAGGAAGGGGAGTGAGAGGAGGGAGGGCGGTGGAGCGAGAGAAGGGAGGGCCGGCTGCCTGGAAGGGGAGATGCAAGAGGCCAGTCGTCCAGTTCTGAAGAGAGTAGCGGTGAGAGGAGGAGGAAGAGGGTAAGGAGGAGGCAAAGAGGCAGAAGGCAGAGCCGAGCCAACAAGGGGGAAGGCTGGATGCGGGAAGGAAGTGGGAGGAGTCAGGTGACGATAGGGAGAGGAAGAGAAGAAGGGGGAGATCCCGAACATCTGTCGTATCCCACCGACTTTTGGAGTCACTGCCACAAAGAAGAGACAACGGAAGGCAGAGGTGGGTTTGTGTGACCATAAAGGTGACTTGTAAGGTAAGTTGTTTGGTTTCTAGCCTTTCTAATATCGGTGATATTATTGATTTTGTGACATGTGTTAACAGTAGACCTGTTCTTCAGCTCTTTGCAACTGCTTGCTTTCCAAGTGCAGTGCTCTTTCAAAGCAATAGTGCCTAAGGGAATTTGCAGCGACAGTTTCCAGCATGTACTAGCAACTTTCAATCACAACTGATTGGGTTTGCTGTAGCACAACAGGTTACTGTGTATGTGGTTCTTCTGCTACTTCCTATACTTCCCCTATATAGCAGACAACAGACCATGACAGTGAGAGACTGCCTCGGACCGTGGAGACTATCTCCCCGAGGGAGGCAACCTCTCGTCCTTCTACTCGGCAGTAGAAGTGGACCTCAGCACACTGAGCGAGCTGACAGAGAGCGTTCCCGGGAAGGACCCGTCGCGAGGGGACGGGACGCGGTCCAAACGGACGTGCGTGAGGGTGAGGGAGGGTATCTCGCGGCTGGAGGAGATTCTGGGGAACGGAGGAAGCACCAGCTCACCTCCCACCAGTCAGTTGGTCTTTCGCTTACAAATTACTATGTATAAAATCTCATAGCTAATTTACGTGATGCATTTCGGCGGGGAAGGCCATACGATATACATTGCAGATGGTCGACTCTCCATGCAGCTACCATGATCCCATCATTATCAAGTTGCTTTTGGCTTCCTACAATTAGACCGTTGGTCCGTTTGCTCTAGCTGTGTGAAACCTCGGTGGTTTGGTTGGTATTTGGCAATTGCACTAACATCTCCATCATTTTTATACACCTTTCCAGCTGCAATATCATGTACTGTATGTGACAGTGCATAACCCTCGCCACTACAATGTGAAGGCTCCCTCCCGTTTCCTTGCTAACCATTACAGGCTTCCCAGCAAGCTCAGTAGCACTAAATCCATTCCCTGTCGTAGTTGCAAGCCTCTTATCTGGTCCAAGAAGCGCTGTCTCCTGCAGTCCGCGAGCGTGATCTCTAATTAACGCACACTCGCCGCGGGCGCTAAAACTGGCCATTTCTCCAGCTTTCGCGGCTCTCTCCGCTCTAGAATCTTGCATTACCGAGCATAGCTAATGCCTACCACGATATCCACGTCTCACCTTCAGAACTGCCGCGGTTTCCAAGAAAAACAGTGACTCACACACTACTCACAAAAATCCCGTAGTAAAAACCACGCGCATGCCCATCTTCCCACGCAATAATTGGCTAGGCTAACAAAGGTCACTACTACTCCACGTGGCGCGTGGTGCTGTGAAGAAGATGCCAGCAGGTATGGCTCAAGGGAGGTATGTGTATCTGGTCTAATCTTGTCACAACAAGGCAGTGATGATGTAGGTAGACTTCCTGTGCATGCATGCTACCTTCTTTTACTGTGACAACCTAAAATAGGACTAAAAATGGACAAACTGAAGGCTTAGGAAGACTAAAACTTACAGTACTGCCTATATACGTACAAGGGAGTGGTCCTGCCTCAGTGGTAGTGAGGCACAGGTGTGGACATATAACCTGTGACCTACATGCCCTTATGACTGGTGCATTCAGACAAACTGGACATTTAGTGAGTGTATGTGTAAACGCTTTCTTCACCCCCCCACACACACAGACCGACTAAAACAACCCTCGCTGAGTATGCATGCAGACGAAGGTTAAAAATATGCCCCGTTTTTTAGGCAAAACTGCCTGTTTTGAGTGTATGAGCTACAGGTCTTCCTTCCACAGGTCCACCAGAGGGCGTGGTCGGGGTGTCGGCTCTGGGGTGAGTAGTGGAGGAGACTCGACCAAGAGACAGCGGAGAACGGCCTACAGGAGCCAGTTCACGCAGAAGAGACGGAGAAAGCGTAGGAAACCTGAGGACGGTAAACGAGAAACCCCCACGCACATGTAGAGAGTGTTCCGTTTTGACTGTTTACCACTCGTGCCTGACAGAGCTTAGTGCTTTATATGTAGCTAACGTAGTTGTACTATAGTGTGTTCTAGGTCAGTGCTTTATATGTAGCTAACGTAGTGTGTAGTGTAGCGTGTTCTAGGTCAGTGCTTTATATGTAGCTAACGTAGTGTGTACTATAGTGTGTACTAGGTCATTGCTGATCCAATCTTTCTCTTCAAATTGCGAAATTACCTCTTCTAATTCTAGCTCATTGTGATTCACCTTTCTATTCAACCTGCATGTGTAATGCATTTGAAAACCTAAACACTAGCTCGTTGCTACATGATATGCCTTTCCTTTTCTTACTCACAGAGGCCCTGTGGCAACCGGCACACAAGAGCACAGCCACTGAAAACCGGCGACCCATCTACGTCTTTTCTACAGACATGGCCAACGCAGCTGCCGACGCAGTGCTCAAGAATCGCTACGACTCCATAATTCAGTTTCACAACGCCCAACCCAAGGGACCCGGGTTCCTCAGACCCTCCACAAACGACACCGGGAGGAGAGATGATACTAACAACAGTAACGACGTCACTCGTGATTCGTCTGAGAGTGACGACGAAGGTGAGGGAGGAGGAGCAAGGGGAGGGGGAAGTGGAGGGGGAGGGGGCAGAGGAGGGGGAGTGGTGAGAGGAGTAAACGAAGTGAACAAGGCTCCGAAACGGAGGTCTTCTCGTTTGAGCACCAGTGAGGATACCCCCACCGCCAAGAGACTGAGGGGAGGTGGGCAAGCACGGAGAGGGTCGGATAATTCCAAGCAAACTCGGTACTCTCGCCGGTTGAGAAAGAGGCAGCAGGCGAGCAGCTCCCCACCGTCATCTCCCGCAGAGTCAGCCAACCAATCCAGTAGTGAGGAGGACGAGAGTGGGGCAGAGTCGGGCGGGTCTCCGGCACCTCTTCCTGTGACTCAACGAAGGGGAGGACGATCGGGAGGGAGGGGGGCACGCAGCAGGGGGAGGGGGAGGGGAGGGAGGGGGAGAGGGAGGCGAAATGTCTCTCTTGCGAACAACTCTAGTGGGAGACGAGGCCCAGCTGGAAACGTGGATGAAAAGGACACTGAGGATGAGGAGGAGGTGGAGGGGGAGGAGAGCGAGAAACAAGCTGGTGAGGGAGAGATGGATACCTCCAGAAACACTGACCAGCAAGAAACTCCTGAAGACAAAGGTGACAAAAGTAATGAACCTCAATTTGAGCGGCGAATGGGCAATCCGTATGGAGTAGAGAAAGTGGCTGCTGGCTCGCCCCACCTCACCTCCCAACGGCCGTCGCTGCAGGGAGGAGACAAGGAGGAGAACAACTACACCATCTGTCACGGGACACCGCGGTCAAAGGGAAGTCGTGCAGTCGACGTCTCCAGCCCAGCACCCCACGATCATCTCTCTCCTCAGCGGCTTGTGGGTGGCTCCCCTGCTCTTGCCACGCCTGTATCATCCGTCGCCGCCCACCACACCCAGCATGACATCGCCAGTCTGGGTGTCCTCCCCGACAAACACCAGCAGTCGTCCACCATGGTTGGACTCTCTAGTGGAGGAGCGGCCGGTAGAGGTGACCCTATGCTAGGTGCAACTTCTGCCCTCCACCCCAACAGTGGAGGTGCCACCCACCACCACCACAAAGAACCAGCAATGGCACCAAACAACTGGCCCGGTGGGCTAGGCCCCCAGTTTGCCCATGTCCCTGGTGGCTACTATGGAGCTGGGATCCACCCCATGCACTATCCCCCTCACCACGCCGCGCAGCACGTCCCTGGAGCAAACTACTCGTATGGGGTATACCCCTGGGGTACCCCACACGCTGTTGGGGGCCACCCACCCCGAGACCAGCAGACAGGGCACCTGTATGGACATGAGGGTGGTCCTCAACACAGGCAGACTCCCTCATCGCACGCCTCCCACCACCCCTCGCAGCCTGGGAGCAGCGGCAGTGGGCACTTCCAACTACACCCTACAACTCACCGCTCCGCTGCTGACATGGGGAAGGATTCAACAGGTGGGTCTTCTGCTAGCGGTGCCTCCCCATCCCAGGGAGGACACGAACCCGCCCACGATAAGCAGCACCCACACTCCTCCCCAAACCACCCTCCCCACCACTCTCTCCGACAGCTCCCCGGCTCGGCCGGAGTCATGACGACGCTCCCCCACGTTCAACACCCTTCGGCTCCCGCCTACCCTCGTCCTCACCCCGCCCTCGCTCCCGATCAAATCTCCACCATGCACCCTGCAGCTGCTTTCTCGTACGGATTCGACCCCAGTAACCCCGCCGCTCTCTCTCACATGCACCAGTTGTGGCAGCAGCAGCAGCAGCAGATGCGAGCGGCGGGTGCAGTCCACCCGACCCACCTTCCTCCCCACCTCCAGCACCCGGCAGCCGCGGGGATGTGGTACCCTCACATGCAGCAGCTCATACAACACGGCGGGGGAATTCCCCCCGATGACTCTGCAAAGAGACGAGGCGTAGCCGCCGCCTCCCAGCAAGGGTCCGGCGGTGCCAAACACCCGCCGTCGTCTGACGGGCTCCGGACAAACTCTAACAGAAACAACAACGAACCTGCTCTCATAAGTCGACCGTCTCCCGAGGCTCTCCTTCACGGTACCCGATTTCCATACAACAAGCCACTTCCGTCCTTTCAACAGACGTTGTCGTCTCTGATTGCTGATTGTGTTTCCAGAGGGGAATTGAATATAACCAGTACTAGTCGCGAGAGCAATGCTCATCCTTCTGACTCTTACCCCTGATAATCATGATACAGGCCCTATAGTAATATATACATTAACCCACCTCCTTGACTATTTACGACCTCACATGTACACGTAATTATTATTGTTTACTCTCCTCTTTTCTTCCTCTCCTTTTGCCTTATGCTCTGCTCCTTTTTTCTGACTGCCTTGTGCCTTGAAAATTTTCTTTGTAAAATTTTGATGTATTTTTTGTAAATTGTTTTGTATGAATCGTGGATCACTTTTTATATTCTGTTCTGTGGACTGCTGTTTTTCTTGTGTAACTTCTGAGGGGATAACTTGAAAGCCCTCTGCGAATTGCATGCTCGGTACCCCTAATTGATGGGCTATGCTAGTAGCTCGCAGAGAGTCTGACACGGACTAGTACAGTAGTATGCATGCGAGTTGTTGTGACTTCTTGTGCCTTCAAGAAAGTCAATATCGCGGCGCCAGCGCTCGGCACTGGGCACAGTGTGCATGTGCTGTACGTGCGTGTTCTGTAGCTATTCGTGCGCAGCAGATGCAGGGCTAGTATCAGCCTATTTTGTCACTGGAAGGTTCTAATATGAGCTCTGCAACTAGTTCGCATTATGATAATTCGGCCAAGGAATCTGACGAACAGTGTTACACGGCGCCAAGCATTGCCTTGGCACCGAATTTGCGGCTCCAGAAAAAGATTTTCCGCTCTGAACAAGGGACACTATGGGGCCAACGATTTTGTCCCTTGTAGAGAGGTTGTCCCTATCTCAGAGGGTCCCTTCTCAGAGGTTCCACTGTATTTATTATCAAGCG